AAAAAAAAAAAAAAAAAAAAAAAAAGCATTAGGGAGCAGCTTAGCATGATCCTGGCCTAGATTTAGTTCCAGGTTCGTCGTGCTCTGCCACACGAAAACTGGCTCTGGGAGCTGATACAAAGCTGTGACGGCACAAACAGCGTATCTGGGAGCTGATACAAAAGCTGTAACGACACAAACAGCGTTTTTGGGAGCTGATACAAAGCTGTAACGACACATCTGACTGACAAAGGGGAAGGTGGAAAGATCATGAGAAGATCATATCATCAGCTCCCGCCTTCCACCTCCCTCTCCCATTTGGCGCCCCCGACGTACAACGGTACAAGTGCGCCCCCGAGCAGTTCTGTACTCGAGGAAAGCGAAGACTGAGAAACGCCATGGCTGGCTGTCGACTCTGCTGTCGTTCTATCACTCTGTCGACGCTGCAGTCGTCCTAGCATATCGCCACCTGTCCTCCTCTCCTCCTCCTCTCCTCCTCCTCCTCTCCTCCTCCTCGTCCGCCTCCTCCTCTCTTCATCCGGGACAACAGAAAACAGGCGTCGTGCTACTCTCCCTCTCTCCCTCTCTCCCTCTCTCCCTCTCTCCTCTCTACTCTCCGAGGAAACACCTCCTCCTCTTCCTCCTCCTCCTCCTCCTCGTCCTCCTCCTCCTACTCCTCCTGCTGCTGCTGTTGCCATGGAGGTGACAGGCGGCGCTTCCGCTTCGATAGGCTTGCAGGAGAGCTTCCGCCATAGCCGTCCTGCTAATCGAGGTGCTGCTTTCTTCCCTCCATTCATCCACGACTCCTCCTCCTCCTCCTCCTCCTCCTCCTCCTCCTCCTCCTTCTTTGTCGCCTTCCTTGTCCTCCTCCTGGCCAGCAGTGCTGCTTCTGAGCCGCAATGTGGCCTTGGAGCTGCCATTGCCACGTGTGCTAATAATCTCTGCTGCAGCCAGTTCGGATTTTGCGGGAATACCATCGAGTACTGCGGCGAGGGGTGTCAAAGCAATTGCGTGCTAAGGGAGCCCAGTCTGGAGGGGGTTCGATGTCCAGTCACACCGCCAACCCCCAAGCCTTACACAGGGAGAGCTTGCAGTTCGCGCGTGCGCGTAAGCGGGGGGGGGCGCACACACCGCAGCTTGAGAGCGGCCAGCTGCTCTCCTAGAGTGGATATCAGCGAATGCCAGTTGTACGAGATCATGGGAGGCCGGTCTCGATGCCCCAACTGCCGGTTTTACTACCGGTATATAGTCGATGCCATGAAGAAGTTTCGGCTGAACTGTCCAGATCGAATTGCCGCGTTCCTAGCGACCGTACGGCACGAGACTGACGCGCTGCGCACTCTCTTTCAGCCGGTCGACTGCGGGGGGGGGGGCATCCACATGATCCCGCTGAACTTCCCGCTCTTTCTGTCCGGGCGCGGGAAACTGCCCGCGCTGAGGCGGCAGTTCGAGCGGGTGTTCCCGCGCGGATTCCGCGTTGGCGCCAACACCACCTGCGCGCGGGAATTGCTCTGCGCCTCGCGCATCGTGCAGCTGCCGCAGAACGCCTTCGAGACGGCGGCGTGGTGGTTTCAAATCGGATCCAGACGCGCGCTCGGCGCGCAGGGCTGTCGCGACTTGCGTCGGGATGCCGACGTGGGCCTGGGTGTCCCTGAAGGGCCCAATGGGACCCGCCCTGCCACGGGCTTCTACAAGATCAGCCGTTGCGTCTTCGGTTCGGCGCCTGATGCCGGTCTCGGGCAGCGGCTAGACTACTACCACGAAGCTCGAATGGTGACAGATAAGCTCCTCAAGTGAAAACCACACACGTGGGGGGAGTAAGGATAAGGATATGGATAAGGATATAACACTTTGTTAGATTGACATGCGAGGAAAACAAACAAAAACAAAAAAGAGAATGAGGAACGGACTCCGAGGAGCTGTGCATTGGCTGGTGGCATCGCTTCCCTGCCGTCAAAATCCTAGTTCCACAGGGAGGCCTTTTTTTTTTTTTTTTTTTTTTTTCTGGGAGGGATGAATCTAGAGAGGATAACAGCGAGAGACCTGTTAGTAAACTCCTCAGTCCTTTCCCTCCT